AATAACAGAAAGATAATTGGACGATGCCCAAGTGTTTGGGAATTGAGCAACCCAGTTCTGTATCATCCATGGGTCAGGAAAAGCCACAATAGAAATGAGAAAATACTTGGGGCAGAGGCTGATGAAAATCGGCGTATTGGAACTTGTAGGAAGCAGCTAAGAAAGCGAGGCCTGGCGGGGAGGCTGGCCTGAACGCATGTGCTCAGGACCAAGGAGAAAAGCAAGGCCTGGCGGGGAGGCTGGCCTGAATGCATGTGCTCAGGACCAAGGAGAAAAGCAAGGCCTGGCGGGGAGGCTGGCCTGAACACATGTGCTCAGGACCAAGGAGAAAAGCAAGGCCTGGCGGGGAGGCTGGCCTGAACGCATGTGCTCAGGACCAAGGAGAAAAGCAAGGCCTGGCGGGGAGGCTGGCCTGAACGCATGTGCTCAGGACTAAGGAAGCCAAAAGCCGATGGCCTAACATTTCTGTCTCAGAGAAAAAAGCTCCAGTAAACAAAGCTTAAAGAAAGTAGAAGGAAGATGCAATCCTAGCTACTCAGGAGGCTGAGATCTATCTGCCTGGCAGAAAAGTCCCTGTGAGACGCTGATCTGCCATTAGCCACTTGAAAGCTGGAAGTGGAGCTGTGGCTCAAGTGGTTGATCTCCAGCCTGGAGCAAAAGCACTTAGGCCCTGAGTTCAAGCCCCACGATGGACAAGGAAAAAAAAATGACAATTTACAAATGTTCCTTTAAAATTACAAAGTAACAAAACTAATACAAAATGACCAAAATGACATAAAAAATTCAAAGTTTCCTCTACTGTTCAAAACAATTCAATCTGTGGCGGTGTGGGTGGCTCCTGCCTGTAATCCCAGCTACTTGGGGAGGCTGAGGTCTGAGACTCGCGGCTCAGAGCCAGCCCGGGCAGGAAAAGCTCATTAAGATTATTTCTCCAATTAATCAGCAAAAAGCCAGAAGTGGAGTTGTGGTTTAAGTGCTAGAGCACCAGCCTTGAGTGAAAAAGCTCAGCTCAGGGACAGTGCCTAGGCCCTGAGATCAAGCTCAGGACCAGCGCGCGCGCACACACACACACACACACACACACACTTTTCAACATTTATGATAAAACTCTCTGCCAATTAAGATTAAAAGGAACTTCCTCGGGATGAAGCTACCGAGGATTTTCTCCCTGCCGTTCACCGCCAGTTCTTCTATTCACTTCCTGGTCAGCAACAGGGAAGGAAAGGGGAAGAAGATGGGAAGATTGGGAAGAAAGCAAAACTGTCATTTTCCCATGATGTAATCATAAACATAGAAAATCTGGAAAAATAAAACCCTATTAGAATTATCAATGAATTCAGCTAGTTAACCAAATAATATACAAAATTATATTTATCTTTTTTTTTTTTGGGTCCGGTCATGGGGCCTGGGCACTGTCCCTCAGCTCTTCAGCTCAAGGCTAGCACTCTACCACTTGAGCCACAGCGCCACTTCCGGCTTTTTTCTTTTTGCTTATGTGGTGCTGGGAATCGAACCCAGGGCCTCAGGCATGCAAGGCAAGCGCTCTACCACTGAGCCACCTTCCCAGCCCCAAAATTATATTTATCTTATACACAAGTAAAAAACTAGGAAATGAAATTAGGGCCAATCTTCAATAGCATGAAAATATGAAACATATAAGCCAAGTGTGGTGGTTCACGCCTGCAGTCCCAGTGAAGCTGGGGTCCTGCTACTTTTCTTTGCTCTAGGCTGGCTTCAAACCACAATCCTTCCCATCTGTGCCTCTCAAGTAGCTGAAATTATAGAGTGTGTCACCATGCCCAGCCTAGAAATGTGACATACAGGAAGTGGGTCATTCTTGTACCGTGTCCTCTGAGAATGCACAAGGCTCCTTGGCCCGGACTTGCCTTCCAGCACGTTGGTCTGCAATCACTTTCCCCATTTCCCTAACACGCCGCTGGCGTCATCGCCGCTGCCAAATTCTAGGCTGCAGCCCAGGGTCCCTGGATCTGGGAGAGACCCATGGGGTGTGGCCGATGCTGGCCGGACCACGCTTGCTCTCGTCTGTCCAGCTGTCCCCGGCACACAGGACCGCGGGCCGCCCCTCCTGCCTGCCGCTCTTCCTCCCCAGCGCTGCGCTCCGGGCGCCCTCCACGCTGACAGGTGATGATATAATAGAAGCCGTGGCGGGAAGCGCGTCAACACCCCGAGGCAGAGAGAAAATACCGCGGTGATGACAGCAGCCTGGCTGCTGACGTTGCAGGCCTGGGGGCTGTGCCGGCCCGGCCGGAGGAGCTGCCCGCCAAGCCCCGGCCCGGCCGGAGGAGCTGCCCGCCAAGACCCGGCCCAGCCTGCCGCTGCCCTGCCAAGCCCTGGCCCGGCCTGCCACCTCTCTCCTGCACCAGGCTAGCTCCTAAGTGCCAGCAGCTGTGTGTGCGCTATGGCGGAAATCTGAGTGGAATCTTCTACTGTGTGGTGGCTCCTAGGAGAGAAAGTTCTGGAACAATGAGCTTTGGCAAGAGGGTAGATATTCCCAACGCAGTAGCCCTACAAAGAAGTACACTGGCAGAAGTAAGACAAGAGCTTGATCTTTGTTGGCAGTTTCTTTTTCTGGGAGTGCAGGGAGCAGTAAGCAGGACTTGAATTCCGGGCCTGGGTGCTGTCCTCCAGCTCTTTTGCTCCAGGCTGGTGCTCCACCACTTGAGCCACATCTCCACTTCTGGCCTTTTGGTGGTTAAGTGGAGATGAGAGACTCTTGGATTGTTTTTCAAAGCCTAACCTGGCTTTGAACCTCTGTCTTAGGCCGCAGCCTCCTGAGTAGCTAAGATTCCAGGGCACAGGTGCCAGGCATCTCTTCCTCCTCTTCCTTCTTCTTTCCTCTCCTCCTCTTCCTTCCTCTTTCCTCTCCTCCTCTTCCTTCCTCTTTCCTCTCCTCCTCTTCCTTCCTCTTTCCTCTCCTCCCTCTGATTATTAACTTTTCTTTCCCTTTCTTTGTTGGTTGTGGGCTTGAACTCAGGGCCTGGGCACTGTCCCTGAGTCTTTTTGTGCTCAAGGCAAGTGCTCTACCACTTGAGCCACAGCACCACTTCCAGATTTTGAGTGGTTCATTGGAGGTAAGAGTCTCACGGGGGCTTTTCTGCCCAGGCTGGCCTCGATCTCGGATCTCAGCCTCCTGAGTTGCTAGGATGACAGGCTTGAGCCACGGGCGCCACGGATGTCATGCGTGGCTCAGCCTGTCCCCTGGGCTGGTTCCTACCTTTGGGGACGGGCCGGTCCCTGGACCGCCCCACACAGGGTCTACCCATTGGCCCCACCCTCCGCCCTTCTCTATTAGCTACTTTTTTGAGTTTGGTCTCCTGTGTATGCCTGTGCTGACCTGGACCTCAATCTGCCTCATTCGACTTCGCACGTGGCTGGTGAGCCAGGCACGCCGGCCACACCCTGTCCCGGGAGCGTCCTCTAGATCCTCCGTCTAGAGAACTGTCAGCCCGGCTGGCCTGCACCGCGCTCCTCCCCCCTCCCTCTCCAGGGGAGCTGGGATTACAGGCATGGGCTACTGGGCCTGGCATGCCCGCACTTCTCTTGACTTCTAGAGAGGGTCAGAATCACCACGAGGGACGCGGGGGTGCCACGGAAGTCCTGCTCCTGTCCCAGCAGTGGGGACGTGTCCTCGGGGGCTCCTGTGTTAGGAAACACCCCCCCCGCAACACCCTACTAATGGTACCCGGAGTTAGGTCTGTGGGAGGGAGCACGGGGGGAGGTCCGAGGGCCCTGGGGGTCAGCAGCTTCATCTGGAGGGGCCCGCGCCGCGCCGCGCACCACGGAAAGCTGCTACGGCCCTGCCTCTGCCGCGCAGCTCCCGGACCCTGAGCCAAAGGAACTTCTGTTCTCTGTAAACCTCCCGGCCCGGCCGCGAGAAGCACAGCCCGACTGCGCGTGCGCCGGGCGCTTGGCGTGGGGAAGCGCTCCGCAGATGCCAGCCAGGCCGGCCCCAACGCAGGGCAGTGACAGCACTGAAATAACCTCGGGGCAGAGTGGGGATGGTGCGTGTGTGTACGCGTGTGTACGCGTGTGTGTGCGTGTAAACTCCAGTCTAGGGGAGGTGTCCAGGCCAGCGGGGGTCTGTTCTTCAAAGGCTCCATGGGGGCTGGGAAGGTGGCTCAGTGGTAGAGCGCTTGCCTTGCATGCCTGAGGCCCTGGGTTCGATTCCTCAGCACCACATAAGCAGAAAAACGAAAGCTGGAAGTGGCGCTGTGGCTCGAGTGGTAGAGCGCTAGCCTGGAGCTGAAGAGCTGAGGGACAGCGCCCAGGCCCAGAGTTCAGGACCCAGGACCAGACCCCAAAACAAAAACAAACAAACAAAAACCAAAGCTCCGAGCACACGTCATCAGAAGGATCACAAGAGTTTATTCCCCACCTGAGAAGTGGGTGCAGGGAACCCCAGCCGCTCCCCTGCCGGACACCCTGGGGTCAGCCACAAACCCAGACCCCACCTTGGCCTACAGCTGCGTTCTGTGGGAGCCGGGACCGACCCCGGCCCCAGCCCCCTGGCCCCGGCCCGCTGCTCTGGGGAGAACTTGCTGCACTTCTGTGTGCTGCGGCGAAGCAGCCGTGAACTTAGCACATAGAAAATCTGAGCAGCATCGGGAATGTCCAATTTCAATCTACTCAGAGCAAGACTGGCTTTCTGAGCGCCCTTCTGCCCTTCACCAGGCCTAGTCATACAGAGAAACAGAGCAAGGCTCAGCCTGTGCACCAAAAATAAGCAGGGTTTTCAGCCAAACAGCTGAGCAATTGGACTTGTTACTTAAACCCCCAAATACATTAGACAGACTTTTTGTTGTTGTTGTGTTGGTCCTGGGGCTTGAACTCAGGGTCTGGGCGCTGTCCCTGAGCTTTTGTGCTCAAGGCTGGCGCTCTTCCACTTGAGCCATACCCCACTTCCAACTTTTTGGTGGTTCATTATAGATAAGTCTCATGCACTTTTCTGCTCAGGCTATCTTTGATCTATGATCCTCAGATCTCGGTCTAATGGTGGCTATGATTAAAGACGTGAGCCACCAGCACTGGGCCCAGATGGATTTCTTTACCAGGAACAGCTTAATACATGATTGCCTAACACTACAAACCAGTACATAGCATCGGTGCTGGTGGGGTGCGGAAGGGCGTGGGTGCTGTCCGGCCGCAGCGCCCTTGGCCACACGGTGCCTGCCGGGCGCTCAGAACCAGTACTCGGAGACGAAGATGTGGACGTTGACGACATTGCGGTGGGAGACCACACCCTCCACCACGTAGCTCATCCCCAGCTTCAGCACGGCGTGGAACGGGCCCACGATGGGCCGGACCTGGCGCACCACACCTGGAGGGAGAGTGGAGACGCGCCGGTCAGGGGCCCGGCCACGTGGCACGGCTGCGCAGGTCAGGGGCCCGGCCACGCGGCTGCGCAGGTCAGGAGTGGCTGAGAAATGGTCTCCCTCCAGGAATTTCAGGGCTACGAGGGTTCAGAGCCAGGCTGCGGCCCGAGCTAGGGGCTGAGGCCCCCACAAGAGGTTGGGGTGCAGCCTCCACCTCTAGGGACTGTTGATGGTGAACCTGCTACTTCAGGTTCACTCAGACAGCCTTTGCGTGTGTGCCAATCCCAGGGCCTGAACCCAGGGCCTGGGGGCTACCCCTTAGTCTCTTTGCTCAGGGTTGATACTCTGCCATGTAAGCCACAGCTCCATGTCTGGCTTTTTTTGGTAGTTAATTGGAGGTCAGAGCCTCACAGACTTTCCTGCCCAGACTGGCTTTGAACCAGGATGCTCAGATCTCGGCCTCCCGAACCGCTGGGATTACAGGCGTGAGCCATAGGCGCCCCGCAGACAATCTTTCTGTGGTGAGCAGCCAGGACTGGGAGGGAAGCTGTGGGTGGCAGTCCCCACAGGACTTGTCCCTGTGTGAGTCGCCGTACGGTCCCCTTGCAGCCTTAATTCCAGGCCTGCCCAAGGTGGCCCAGGGAACCAACAGAGCCCTGGAGGCAGAGCTGACAGAGGGCCTGGGATGACGCCCCGGTCACAGCCGGCACCAGAGGCTCACGCCTGTAATCCCAGCCACGTGGGAAGCTGAGATCTGAGGAACTCGGTTTGACGTCAACCCAGGAAGGAAAGTGGATGAGACTCAACCATGGTTACTGAGATGAAGGATGAGGAGGAGAAGGAAGGGGAGCGGGAAGAAAGGAAATCAGTTGCTCAGGCCCCACAATCCAGGACCAACAACAAAACTGGTCCTGCAGGGATGATGGGGAGCCAGGGAAGGAAGGCTCTGGAAAGGAGAAGGGTGGATTCATCCAAATTGGCCAGTGCAGCGGCAAACTGCAGGGCAAAGAGAGAGGGCAGTGCCCGCAGCCTGCCCGCAGCCACCCCTGCAAAGGTGCCCGCAGCCACCCCTGCAAAGGCGCCCGCAGCCACCCCTGCAAAGGCTCAGCGGGCCAGGAGAGCGGGGCAGGCAGACAGGGGAGCGGGGCAGGCGGCCAGGGCTCCAGGCTCAACTGGGCTCATGTTTCAGACCCTTCGTTTGGGCATTTCTGCTCCGGTCGCAGACACTACCGTGTCTGTTGAAAAATATAGGTCACCCCCTCCGCTCCCTGCTTCACCTCCCGTCTCTGCTTTGCTGTAGAAATGGTAGCCACAGACTGGCGTCCCTGCTCCTGAAAGCAGCCCCCCCTCCCCGGCACTGTGGGGGGACCGGCCACCCTTGGCCTCTGGAGCCATCTCCCAGCTCTGCCAGCCCAGGGCGCACTGGACAGGCTGCCAACTGTCTGAAATGATGAGCCCTCGAGACGGGGCTCAGCACCAGGCCGTGCCCAGCCCTGGACTTGGTGGTCGCTGCCTGGCTGCCTGCCACCCGAGTGGAGAGCAGCCTGCCTTGCTCCTGTGCCACCGACTGAAGTGAGACGAGGTGGGGAGAATTCTTTGAAAGCCACGTGTTAACATCGTTAAAAAGAACCAGCAGAGCTGGACCAGCGGCTCACGCCTGTCATCCTCGCTACTCAGGAGGCTGAGAGCTGAGGAGCACAGTTTGAAGCCAGCCCAGGCAGAAAAAGCTTGTGAGACTCTTATCTCCAATTAACTACTCAGAAAAGCTGCAAGTGGCACTGTGGCTCAAGTGGTTGAGTGCTAGCCTTGAGCACAATGAGGCTTAGGGATAGTGTCTACGTCCTGAGTTCAAGCCCCAGGACAAGAAGAATTAGAAGAGGACAAGGAAAGAAGGAAGGAAGGAAGGAAGGAAGGAAGGAAGGAAGGAAGGAAGGAAGGGAAGGAAGGGAGGAAGGGAGGGAGGGAAGGAAGGAAGGAAGGAAGGAAGGAAGGAAGGGAGGGAGGGAGGGAGAAGTTGGATCACACTGGGAGACGTGTGTCTCCTTGATTGCCAGGCCACGGCCCAGGCCCATGTGTCTGGGGCTCACTCATATCCCTTCCTTGCCTACTAAGAGCTGGAAAACTCAGTTCTTCAAACCTACTACCTTCTTCTCCTGCCACCATGTGAAAGAACATTCTAGATGCTTCCAGAATGTACTGCGCTGAGCTGGGTCATGCTACAAGTGAAATGGTCACCTTCAGTGCTGGGGCTCTGACGGTGTGCCCCAGACGGCAGCTGACAGGGTCCTGGACCGCAGTCCAGCTGGAGCTGACCACCCAGCCCAGCTCTCCCCTTTCCCCTCCTCCCCCTCTTGTGTTGTTCCTGAGTCTTGAACTCAGGACCTGGGCGCTGTCCCTGAGCTTTGTGCTCAAGGCTAGCACTCTACCACTTGAGCCACAGATCTAGTTCTGGCTTTTTAGTTGATTCATTGGAGATAAGAGTCTCACAGACGTTCCTGCCCAGGATGGCTTTGAACCACGATCCTCAGATCTCCCGAGCAGCTAGGATGACATGCCCCAGCAAGCTCGGAAGCCCACGGCGTCACCCAGCCGGCCATGGGACGGGATGTGTAGCGCACGTCCAGAGCGAGCTGGGCTGCGCTGAGTCATGAGCACGGCAAACAAGGCCGCGCGGAGGGAGGAGGGATCCGTCTTCCCAGCAGGAACTGGTGGTGTGGAGAGGGGGTTCCTGCAGCCCGGCCTGCCTGCCTGCCCGGAGCCTCCAGCGTCTGGGCGGGAAGGACAGGTGTCCAGACCACATGCTTCAAATACCACCCGTCACTCAGCGTGTCTCGGCGAAACTCCTCTCCGCATTGCTGGAGGTGAGCGCCGCGTCGCCCACAGCTTTCCTGTGAGCTGAGGGGACGCACCGCGGGCTGCGAGGCCCAGCGCGCCCCCCCCCCCCCGGTCTCAAACGTGGCTCTGGTGACACCTCTGTCCACCCGTGATGGGGACCCAGCATGTGCCTCACCCACATCCCCTGCCTCTGTCTGGGGCTGGAGCTGCCACTGTCCCCGGTTCATGGAGGAAGGACCAAGGCGCACAGAGATGGAGGGGTGGCTGAAGATCACACAGCAAAGCAGGGCTGGAACTCAGATCTTGAGCTACAGCGCTTTCTACCAAGCTGTGTGCGGTGTTGCCAGAGCGAGGGCGGCCATGGAGGAATGTGCTGTCAATGCACCTGTGTGTGTGACCTTCCAGCCCCAACTGTGACTGTGATGGCGTGGTGAGAGGCCACCTCCTCTCCCTGTCTGGACTTCGTCTCCACCCCCACCCCACCGCCTCCAGGCTCTTCCTAGACCCCAGATCGGAACGCATCAACCCACCAGAACCTCCAGATGCAACTCAAACACAGGCTTGCTGAGCACCAACGCACCCCCAAATCCTCCCCCGACGATCCCCCCAGCCCCCCCAGAGCCGGGAACCAGGGCCAGGCTCAGCCGCACAGCCCTGGCTTGCAGCCTCAAGGGCCCTGGCCCTGGACGGCCCAGGGCTATGTGGGACACCTCCCCTCCATCCTGCCTCCCACCCACAGCCCCCTCCACCCTGCCTCCCACCCCACAGCCCCCTCCACCCTCCCACCCAC